AGTTACTCCAATGAATGAGTTGTCTATTTATTTATTTTTGTATATTTCCTATCTCAAGATCAGTATTTTTCAACCTTGGCAACTTGAAGATGTGTGGACTTCAACTCCCAGAATTCCACACCCAGCATGGAATTCTGGGAGTTGAAGTCCACACATCTTCAAGTTGTCAAAGTTGAAAAACACTGATCTAGATTCTTCAAGTGTGGTGACTAGAATTGTCTGTAAGTGTGTACACAGGGATGTTCTTGTGTCAGCAGTTAGTTCGAGTTATGTTCTTAATGGTTCTAAGTTTGGCACTTTGTCTTATAAAAATTGCACACTAGGCTGACCCATTCATTGAGCTGTTCTCCTTGCTTCTATGTCCTTTTCTGTTTAGCCACCTTCAGCTTACAGCCGGTTAACGTAGAATGGTGATTTTTTAACCCCCACCAAAAGCTCTAATCTCCCTTTGCAGACATCAGCCCATTTTTTGACCTGAAGACTGTAACCCGAAATACTAATTTAGTACCTTTCCAGATTCTGTTGTTCATCAGATTTGTTAGGTAACTTTTATCTACTAATAGAGGGAGAGAAAAAATATCCTTCCCTGTTCAAAAGAAAGTCAACTGATGACATTCCTTCCCACAGTTGGAGGCTCCAAGGCAACCCTAGGCATACCTAAACATGGTATCTACAATTTGTTGTGTCTACAGATGGAGGTGTCCAAAGGTGCATCTCCTTCAGAAAATCTGTGCAGGATTCAATCTGGGTTGGTCACCGGGACCAGAGGTTTAGTCTTCCACGCTGGAGCCCACCTTCAAGGAACTTCTCTCTAACAGACTGCGTGCTCTCCTTTGTGTAGTATTTATGTATTTATTGTGTGTAGCTTTTTAGATGTCCATTACTGTGTTGATGTCTGACTATTAAGTCATTGGCTGTTGTTTGCTTGTGCTGCCCAACCCTTGCCTCCTAAGTACTTGATAAGCTGGTGGTAAATCAGCACTCCTGTTGACTGATGGGGGACCCGTTTCCCAGACTTCAACCACTTCCCTAGCTGCTTTGTACCTGCTCGTCCAACAATCTTATTGTTGTGAGTCCGTGCCAGCCAGTGGACCTGGCAGCTGAGTCCGGGGAATCAGAGGAGGAGGAGGAGGAGAAGCCTGGAGAGCCATCAGAGTCGGAGGAAGGCTCCGATGAGCTCCAGGACTTACAATCTGATGAAGAGCCTGGCCCCTCCAATCGTGCTCAGGCTGAGACCCAGCTGTGCTGGGAAGATGAGTCAGACTCTGAGGACTCACAGCTGGAAGAGATCATAGATGCTCACAAATGCAGGTAGGCAACAAGAGCAGGACAGAGGGAGGCAATGGGGTGACTCCAAGGGAGAAGGAGAAGGCATTGAGAAGCCACGCCTTGGGGCTGCATAATAAAAAGGGAAGGTGTGGGTGGTGCTGGTTGCTGAAGACAACTAATTAATAAAAGGGATTTGTTTTTCCTGCATTTCCAGCCTACTTGTTAAAAAAGGGGTTTGTCCTTGTGAGTTAACAAGGGCTTACATAGGCTGGGATAGAACACTTATTAGCTGCAAAACTGAATGTATGCCCTTGTTCACTGAAGTGTAAGGCTACCATACAACAGCCTACGATTTAATAGCCAGCCATCAATGCCCTAACCAGCATCTAAAAAGCCACATACAACAGGCACTATATAAATACCACACAGAGAACAGAGTGTATGCTGCTAGAAAGAGCTTCCCTGAAGATGGGGTCCAGTACAAGTCCTAAAGCTCAGAAGACATAATCTCTGGTCCTAGTGACTGACCCAGATTAAATCCTGCAACATTATCTCGGGACACATATATTCATTTGTGAGAAGAATCTATGTTGTTTATGCAAAACATCAGCTTGGTGTGTCTCTGAACCATAAATCACTTTTATGACTTGGTTCAGAATTTAAGCATCGAGCCTTGAAGGTTAAAGACAATATTTAACCCAGTTTTAGTTACCTGGAATTCTATCCCTCTCTTTCCTGAACACTAAACCCTGTTTCGTTCCTTACACAGAGGTTCGGAATGCAGGTGAATATGAGCTCCAGTATAGCCTAGTGTGTCAGAGATTGGCGGATCCATTTTTAAATTCCTGGGTCAAAGATCTTCCTCCGGTAGGGCCCTCTAGGCAGCCAAAAGGAAACCTTTGTTCTTCTCAGGTTGAGTTTGCGCTCTTAACAGGACAATCACTATCTAAAATTTTAATGAAATATGAGATGCCTTATCTTATCCTAGTTATAGTCAACAGAATTCAGACATTCAAAGAGAATTGTCCTCCGGTCAACATCCATGGGGTAGCATAATCCACCAAATTGACTAAGATGGTAACGCGGTTGTGTCCAGCGTGATGGAGTTGCTTGCTAGCATTTTACACTTCGGAATACATTTTGGAAGTGCATTTAGCAAGCCTCTAGTAGCCCAGGTGGCTTTAACCAGAGTTTTCTGCCTGGGCAGGCATGCATTAAGGCAAAAGCTAAGAATTTGCTTTTACATATTTGTGAAATAAGGATATTTTTAGAAAAGCTTTCTAGGACATTTCAGCAAGGAACCAGGTTATGAATACTATTATCCCAAGGCTAAAAATACCAGCCTGGTTAACAGGTAGCAAAAGATTTGGTTGGTCTCTTGAAGGACACACCGTTTAGGCACACAATTTTGTGCCTGGAGTCAACATCTTGAAAACAACAATAACAATCAAACACAAATGATCCAGCGCCACTGAGGGCCAAGGTTGAATCTGGAATTCCGTCAGTGTTATTGCATTGCATTGTGCCTTTCATGTCAATCGCAGATCAAAAATGATTGGCAGTAGATGGTTACTCTTTCTCTCTCTCTCTCTCTCTCTCTCTCTCTCTCTCTCTCTCTCTCTCTCTCTCTCTCTCTCTCTCCCTCCCTCCCTCTCTCTCTCTCTCTCTCTCTCTGTTAAGAAAGGTCAACAACAAAATGATCCTGAAGATATTGTATAATCCAGATTAAACAAAGTCCTGGGAGCATCGTACAGACCTCAGTTTGCAGAAGACAAGAAGCAATTAACCCGAGATTCGTTCCTCAGCGTTGCAAAGATTGACTGTCAGGTTTGGAATTACAGGAGTCAAAATGTGACACATCTGGAAGGCACCAGATTGAGGAAAGCTAAACTACCATTACAATGATGCCTCAAGCTACTTACTCTTTCAAATTAACATGACTACAATTCACCTGTATAATTCTTAACCTTTACCAGGTTGATCAGACAGGAAAACATGGCCAGATGAGCTAATTCTACTTTATCACAAGGCTATGTCAACAGAATCCTGCCAGGTCTGAAAGTACAAATCTCCTACTGTCTCTTTTACAGCCTCAGTAAGTAGGGAAAGGCTCTTCTGAGCCTTTTCCTCCACCCATGATAGAGCTGGGGGCTATGCCATCTCTTATCTGACTATTCCCTGATCAGCATCTCTTTGCCTGTCTCCCAAGGTCTTTCATACAATTACAATAGTTTATCCAGAATAAACACGAGAGCATTGCAGAAGGCAGCGTTGTGACTCCTCACCAGCCAGTGGATCTGGCAGCAGAGTCTGAGGAATCAGAGGAGGAGGAGGAGAAAGAAGGGCCTAGAGTGATATCAAAGTCAGAGGAAGGCTCTGAGGAGATCCAAGACTTACAGTCGGATGAGGAGCCTGGCCCCTCTACTCGCGCTCAGGCTGAGACACAGCTGTGCTGGGAGCCTGAGTTGGACAGTAATGAAGAACAGCTGGGACAAATCCCGGATGCACAAAAGCACAGGTAAGAGAAGCAAGTAGGATAGAGGAATGCAATGGGGTGGCTCCAAAGGCAAAGGAGAAAGCATTAGGAAAGCCACGCCTTGGCTGCATAATAAAGGGGAAGGTGTGGGAGGTGCTGATTGCCGAAGGCAATCCGTTCGTATTGAGGATCAAGTTTCGGTGAACTGTGTTTGTTTGCCATGGACATTGACTCAGGTCTATGAATAATAAAAGGGGACTGGTTTTTTCCTGCAGTTCCAGCCTGCTTGTTGGAAGAGGGGTTTCTCCTTGTGAGCATAGCAAGGACTCATGTAGGCTGGCAAAGAACAGGCAAAGAGAAGATTTCAGGGTAGGCATTCAGCTTCCAGTTCTCTGCCATGCCACAAGTCTTAAAAATTGGGCTGTAAACTGGAACTTATTTTGTCAGGATGGTATCATAAATTGGCTTATTTAACAGATACAACTGTGTCATGGGTGGTGACATCACTCTGATTAAAGCCCAGCCTCATCTGCTAATGCTAGGCCAGTGTTGCTTATCCTTGTCAAGTTTTAAGCTATGTAGACTTCAGCTCCCAGAATCCCCTAGTCAGCCTGCTGGCTGGGGAATTCTGGGAGTTGAAGTCCACAAAGCTTAAAACTTGACACGTTTGAGAAACAGTGGCCTAGACCAAAATACACTGGTGGGCTTGTGGATCCCTTGCCGATGAATATCACGGGCTGCAGTTGGTTATTAATTCATGCAATAAATGGAAGCTCTTAAATTTTTCCTTCTAAATTCCTTATACTGTTCTGCACACAAGGAATTTATGTATCCATGATAGGGGAGTGGGAGGAAGAACCGCAATTGATGAGCTTAGTCATTCAAGGAATTTTGACAGGTTTTAAATAATCCATTACTTATCACATTGACCATTGTCAACTCTATAGTAAACTCTGATTAGGCATCACATGGTATCACTCAGGAGAGAGTAACATCTTGTAAGCTCCATCCGAGAGGGCTTGCTTTCAAAGGGTTTTTATTTTATTGACTTATTTATCCAGATCTGATTAATTTGTAGGATTTGTAGGATTAACAGAGAAGGGTTACTGAAATTGCATGCCAGCTATGATCTTGATTTCCCCTACGTTAAAGAACAATAGATTTCTTTGGCTTTTAAAATCTTCTACATTTTTATTCTGCTGCATTAGACTCACATAATTCAGTATCGCTTTTTCTTCCTATAAATGTGTCCTTGTTTTTTTTTAAAAAAACAAAATCACTCAACTGTGAGTTATATTAAAGATTAAGTAGATCCCACCCATTAAATGCCCACTCTGAATCTTTCAGACCCAAACCTTTTGAAATTAATAAATCGGTTTCCAGAATATTTGAAACTCCATGCAGCAATAGCTGTGGCATCAAAGAAGAGATTAGAAATATCCTTTAGATAAAACTTCCATGGTACCCTTGGAAGTCTACTGGCAGAGTGAAGTAACTATTCAACTTCACATCGTGAATCGTTATCATGCATACATTGCAGTCAACAGAAATAAAAGCAACCCATGGAATCAAGCTGTTTCCTGTTTCAAGAAAAATGGATTTAAAACTGCAACCTAAGATCAAGTCAATCTAAGCGAGGGGATGACAGGAATGGACCTTCCAGTCTCCATGTCTATGATGACCCTATTTAGAAGGGATGTTGAGGACACCTCGTTTTTTCTCTGTTTATTCCCTACAGGAGCTACACCAGGCTTTGAAACTCTCCAGCAAGAAGGAAAACGGGGCTATATTCAAGCAGATAAATGGAGGCCAAAACATGAGAAGTAATCCTCCAGGCAAAAACAGAGCAAGGAGCCCTAAATCTAGCAAATATTAACCAGAGAGCATCCATCCTGCTCTGGAAGGTGCTGAAAGAATGAAAAAAAGTGTTCTTAAGTGGAGCAGTGTTTCTCAACCTTGGGCAGCCAAAGATGTGTGGACTTCAACGCCCAGAATTCCCAATGGCTGAGGAATTCTGGGAGTTGAAGTCCAGGCATCTTCATGGAGCCAAGGTGGAGAAATATTGTGTTACAGCCACGAGGCACAATGCAATGCAGAGGTCATCCCTTCCTACCACCTCCTGGTTAGCAGCTTCTTCGTTCTACTGTTAAGAATTCTTCTCACCTTACAGCAGTGGTTCTCAACCTGTGGGTCGGGACCCCATTTGGGGTCGAACGACCATTTCACGGGGGTCGCCAAACAAGGCTGTCCGCCATTTTTTCCCCCTTTTCTTTGGCCACGCCCCTGGCACCCAGTGATGCATAAGTAGTTGGGGGTCACCACAACATGGGGAACTGTATTATGGGGTCGCGGCATTAGAAAGGTTGAGAACCACTGCCTTACAGGGATTTTATTTATGCGCTCTGTTTCAGCAACTGTTCCAGGTGTTCCAAGGATGGAAGCTTATTCTCAGATTCCTCCCATAGGATACTACAAACGTTCTTTTCCTTCCATCCTTTTGATCTTGCCAACCTGTCTATAAGAGTCACAGTGACAGTAGCAAGCCAGGATGAGGGCAAACGGTTGACCTGGACCTCATTACATCATCACCAAAAGGATGCGCAAATGTCACAGCCTAAGTCCACAACTTGTGCCATTTCTATGATGACACATATCACTCGTCCCCCGCAGAGACCCATAATAAGGAGGTGCGAAGCAGGAAGCTGCCATTCCAGACTGGATCGATATTAACCTAGATATATGTAAATGCAGAGTTTAGTGTTCTCCCATTCTTGGCTGTCCATCTTAGCAGTGGTCACAGCATCCTAAGCAGGAAAAACCTATCTAAACCTCTGAGTGTGCACACCGAGAACTGGTGTGACGCCTCTACCCTTCAAACATTTTACTGAACAACCAAAATCAAACTCAAATGAAATCGGCCGTGCTTCAGAAATAGACTGGTCAACCATTGACCGAGATAATATAAAGTCTCCTGCCTTGAGCAGGGGGTTGGACTAGACGATCTCTGAGGTCCCGTCCAACCCTGTGATTCTAGGTCCTTTTGAGATTTTGCTGTCTTTTTTTAAATTCAAACATGTTTCTTTCAAGTTATGGCCCTAATCCCGATCTAAAACCTCCATGCTGTTTTCCTTTCTGCTACTAAAAATTCATGGACGTGCCATTTGGACATGTGGCATGAACCGTTTTATATCTCCACTGCGTAACTGCTGTGTAATTCTTATTATTATTAAGCCACCATTCCTCAACACCTATGATCGATATGTTTCTTCTTCTCCGAAAGCATTATTTTTTTTAAGACATCAGCGTGGGTTTTGTGTGTGATTCGAAAGCTCAGGGCCGTAACGTCTTCTCATTCAAATCTGATATTTACCCATGACACAACCAAGCCCTGACACAATGCCTGTGTAGTAGAGAAGGCTACTACGGGTTGTAGCTATCTACCCAAGCGTGTGAAAAGAATTTCACTTATCCAATTTAGAAAGTCACGAAGATAAAACCATGGACATCGCAAGACTTCCCAAGTTACGCATTCCGGGACTCTCTTGCTCTTTGTAGGTCACAGGTACCCCGTCTCTTCCCCCACCCCCAAGGTAAACTATGATTAAGTGCCCCCTACTTCTGGGTCCCAGAACATGACCTTCCAGTCTGCGGAAGAGGTCCTACATGCAGACGCGGTGACTACCTCATGTTCTTGACGTTATCTTCCGGTGGTTTTCCGTGGTTTCACTGTCTTGGGGTTGACCAGCCTAGATCTCCGAAAGGTCCCTCCCCTGTTGCTGATCTCGGCGGAGGGCCACAGGGTGTGCAGAGGTCAGAATCTGTGTCTGACTCGCCTTCCGCAATGTAAGGTCTGATTTTGGCCACTGCGGTGTAGCAACCATTGTTCAGGATGTCCAAATTTTCTTTGGACTGTGAAATGCTAAAGCCGCTGAAGGAACGCTCCAGTTCCTCGTGGTCGACCGACGGGATGGAAATAGACGTGTCACTGTCTCTCAGGGCATTTTCGGGGTGTTTAGCAGTCACGTCTTCGTTCCTGGCATACTCGGAACTGGCTCGGTTGCCCCCGCTGTAGGCAGATAAGGAACGCTCGTGGGACGGCGGTGGTGGGATTCTCACCAAGGAGCCGGGATCACCAACTGGGGATGACCCGTAGCTCGGACGGTGATAGTGCTGCCAAGAAGTGGAGGGAGGACATGAGTTGTTTGGCATCGTTGTGGCTGGTGGGGCAGAGAAGTTCTTCTGGCCCATGGAACTGGTTGAGCGGATGATCTTGATAATGCAGCCATTTTTATCAATGTGTTCCCGGCTGTCCTCTGGACTGTGATAAGGTGGGGCTGGGTCAGGCTCTTTAGAGCCAAAATAGGCCTCTGTTTCAGTCGGAGGGATCCCCATCCGTTGCATGTAGATGTTGACCAAGAAATCCAACTTCTTCTCCATGGAGAGAACCTGGGAAATGACCCACAGACACACACACACACCCAAGACACAATTAGCCAAATTATTTTAGATCTAAGCTACCTTGATTCAGCCATCAAGAATCTTGAGAATAGTGCCAAGTTTCCTAAAGATTAACAACGACTGGAGTAACACTGAAGGAGACTGTTTGTAGCTCAGGATTGAAATGAGGGTCCTTGGTGCTCTCTGAGTTGGGTTGTTTCCTTGCAGATGTTTCCTTGCCCAAACTAGGTAACATCATCACTGCTAGAAGGGAGTGAGATTTTCAGAGTGAAGAAATCAGAGTGGGAGGAGGAGGAGGACGACGACGACGACTGTGGGGTCCTTGGTGCTCTCTGAGCTTGGTGATTTTCTTGCAGACATTTCATGACCCAGCTAAGTAACATCATCACTGCTAGAAGGGAGTGAGATTTTCAGAGTGAAGAAATCAGAGTGGGAGGAGGAGGAGGAGGATGACGACTGTGGAGTCCTTGGTGCTGTCTGAACTTACTTGTGTTCTTGCAGACATTTCATTACCCAACTAGGTAACATCATCAGTGCTAGAAGGGAGTGGAATATGCTCCCTGTTTATATATAAATAGTTTGCCCTGACAGTTCCTTGATTAGGATAAGCCACTTGTATATAAACAGAGAGCAAACCCACTCCCTTCTAGCACTGAAGATGTTACCTAGTTGGGTGATGAAACGTCTGCAAGGAAGAACCACACTCAGAGAGCACCAAGGACACCTCAACTGCCAGAGTGACGTAACAAACTTCCAATTTCTTGGAGAAATATCCAAATTAAGGAGATGACAGTAGGGCTGAAAAAGTGACAACCAGCACCTTGATTCGGACCCGGAAGCAAATCAGCAGCCAATGGAACTCTCGCGGGAAAGAGGACAAATAATGTTGGAATCGTACCTGTTTTTCCACCTTGCCAAGTCTGCCCATCATACTTGGATCTTCTGGAAGTTCTCCTTCAGCTGAGCCTTTGGTGCGGTCTTTGTCTGTCAGTGATGGTCCACGCCCAACAATCTGGTCCACTCTAGGTCCCACCCAGGAGAAACAAAACAAAGCAAAACAAAGCAAAACCAAATGAGCAAGCTACAATCAGAGAGATCAGATCTCCATCCTTATCTTCCAGATCTTCAAACGTGTATTATTCCTCCAGCCTTTTCTTGTCTAATGATCGACATCAGGCAAATACAGGTAGTCCTCAACTTACAGTGGAGCCCCAAATTTCCATTGCAAAGCAAGACAATAGAAAAGTGAGTTGTCTCCCATTTTACAACCTTTTGGGCCACCTTTGTTAAGCAAATCATTGCAATGGCCTCCCTCATTGACTTTGCTTGTCGGAAGCCAGCTGGGAAGGTCGTCAGTGGTGATCACATGACCCCAGAGCAGTGCAATTGTCATAAATGCATGCCGGTTGCCCGAATTTAGGGATGCTACAAAGGTCATAAGTGTTCAAATCAGGCGTAATTCACTTTTTTCACTGCTGTTGTAACTTCACACGGTCACTAAATGAATAGTGGTTAAGTTAAGGGCTACCTGTATTCCACCAGCTTTCCTTTTCTAATGATTTAACAAAAATAGCATCGGGCAAGTAAGTAATTACTCAAATGCAAAATAATACGCCTCTTTATTTCAGCTTGCATTTTATGGTTCAAAACACTCTTGTTTCCCTTTCTAGAGATTAAATCTGGCACAATATGCGCAGCAAATTTGGCCCTTGAGATCAAAATCTGCACTGTGTTTCCAAACCTTCTTCAATTTTTGTCTCTCTTTATTTAACGTGAATTTATATTGCTCATTTTAAGTGTTTAGAAGTAACCCAGAAAGAAGACCATGATCGTGGCTAGTTTCCATTGTATGTCACAGTTCTAAAATAAGTAATGCACGCACACACACACACACACACACACACATACAATGGATAAATTTGGAAGTTCAAATAAGTAATACTATTTACTTGACATTAATGGTGATGTCATAAGGATAATTAATAATTCTGGATCAACTTTGTTGGTTTCCAATATCCAAATCTCACACCGTGTTCTAGGTTGTAGATTTTGAAAACAGTAGCACCTGCAATATTTCCCTAAGTTATTTTGTTCCTCACTATCCTTTTTTGCTTTTTCATATGGTCATGTATCCTAAAAAATTGTGGGTTTTTTTTAATGGTTTATATTATAGAAAAAAACAAATCTAAATCTAACTTCTTGCACAGGTCAAAGATGGGAAACAAAGATGGGAAACAAACTTATTTTTTACCCAATATACTTGCATATACAACATATAATACCCTTTGGTTAATACCTCAGCGTATTTCAAACTTGGCAATTTGAAGATGTGTGGACTTCAACTCCCAGAATTCCACAGTCAGCCATGCTGGCTGGGGAATTCTGGGAGTTGAAGTCCACACGTCTTCTATTTGCTAAATTTGATAAACGCTAAGAGTCTACTGTCTTCCATGAATAAACCAGCTTGAATCTTAGTTTTGTCTGAGAGTTTATGGTCTGAGTCCTTAGCCTTTTCACAGAACTACAATTCATCAGCTCTATTTTAATAACAAGGTTAAAAGGGGCAGTTACAGAAATGTGCATATCCTCTCATCCAAAATGAAAGCATGCAAGCAGGGAGAAATGATAAACCATTAAGGCATAAACTGATCCCCCAGTTTGGGCCATAAACAATTAAAAGTAATTGCTACTATGAGGATTTTGTTCAGAAAATGAAATTTCTGAAAAACCACAAAGTGATTTTTCTGGGGAATGCTAAGAAATAATAGCCGATTTGAATGAAAAGAGGAAGAATTACAAAGAGTTATCAGCTCACTTGAAAAGTAACAATGCTTTTGCAGGCTTTGTTAGTGAAGAATTCAGAAAATGGTCAAAAAAAGGGAGACACTGTTTTGCTGTCCAGATCTGAGTTTGTAAATTATCTGAAGGTGAGACCTTAGTAGTCATCTATCATTTTCTTAAATACGATAAATAAAATAGAAATGATTCTTAACTCTTTAGAACTGTAGGAAGTTTCCATGAATATGAATTACTAAAAATGAGCAGTCATGTCCCTTTTCTTATAAAACTATATATAACCTTTAGCAGAATTTTAAACATGGCCTTTGGCTTGCTGGATATAATCAATTTTATTTCATGGAGTCTTTTTCTAAATATTTTTTAGAAAAATCTAAAGACTTTTTTTGGGAAGTCTTTTTCTAATTTTTATATGGCAATTATCTTATCTGCCATTGTGTGATCTTTAAAATCTGTGTGATTTTTTTTTCCAGGGGACCCCTTAAATTGGCAGAGGAGAGAGGGAGAATGGAAAATGGTTTATGATTTCCTCAGAGTTATTGTTTTAGGCAAGCCTGTTGTTTTACTTAGAGTTTTTTAAAAACAAATTGGAGAAGATACCAGGAGTCATTTTCAGATTGAGTAGTCTAAATATGTGTTTAAAAAAATATCCTCCCCCTCCCCCTTATTATAGAGCCATCTGTCTTACCTCAAAATCTTAATTAGCCCCGGTTAATTTTATTTTTGCATAGTGTGCCAGATTTTTACAAGTAAACTTCTAAAATCCCGAAATGACAATAACCAGGAATAAAAACCACAAACAAACCAGTATATTCATCATTCCGTAACAAAATTTGTTGTCTGGAGCAGAATTTAAACAGTACTTCTTCCACAGCTCTGGAGCAAAGGCGACCGTTCCATGCACAAGGCGTGAATGAGTTATGAGTTCGAAGTCAGGCAAGGAAAGGGGGGAAACGGATTAATGAAATGAAACGTTTATGAACATCTCGAAAAACTAAAAGTGCTCCCTTGATTACACATTGTTAACACAAAGCAAGGGAAGGGTCAAGTCAAGTCATCTGGCTGTTTCAAGTCATACCAAATTGCCTTACTTTGGCAGAAGGATGCTCAGAAATTTGTATGTAAACCTTTTAAAAAGAGCTATGTCCTCTCTTTGACTCATTAAAGCAGCTGTGTATTGTTTATTTGCAATATCTGTCTTCTGTGGAAGGCATTTGGTCCCCAGCCTCACACGTCTGCTTCATGAGCATTTACCAGGAAGTGAGGTGGCTGTGTGTATCACTGTCATGGGCTGTGCAAATTCTTCAAAAGGGCTGTGTCTTCTCTTTGACTCATTAAAGCAGCTATGTATTATTTATTTGTTGGCAATATCCGTATATTGTGACACGCATTTGACCTCCAGGCACACATGGCTGCTTCATAAACAGCTTCTAGGAAGCGAGGTAGTCATACATGCCAAGGTCAAGAGCTGTGCAAATCCTTTGAAAGAGCTGTGTCCCCTATTTGACTCATTAAAGCAGTTGTGTTTTATTTATTTATTTATTTTGCAATATCTGTATACTATTTCAAGCATTTGGACTCCAGGCCCAATGGTTGTTTGATAAACAGCTTTCAAGAAGCAAGGTAGTATAAATGTCAATGCCATGGGCTGCGCAAATCCTTCAAAAGAGCTATGTCTTCTCTTTGACTCATTAAAGCAGCTGTGTATTATTTATTTATTTATTTTTGCAATATTTATATACTATTGCAAGCATTTGGACTCCACGCTCACATGGCTGCTCCATTTTCCAGCTTCCAGGAAGCGAGGTGGTTATGCGCATTCAACACACGAAACAGCCTGAAGCAACTTCTATAACATCTGCACACGCCTCAGAAAAGATCCAGCTGTTTTAATGTTTTTTAAAAAGTCCTTTCTATGCAGATCTGTGGATTGCAATGCTTTTTTTTATACAACACAATTACTTGGACCTACATTTGTTCTGTCTCTTGACCATAATGACCACATTTATGGTGGTTGTTATCTGTATTTATCACAATTTTATTTGGAAGCGTAATCACAAGGGGACAATTGCACGGCTTCACAGAATTAACTAGGCCGTTGCTAATAGTAGAAGAGTTACACTGTTTTTCCTTTACTATGCATGTTAAGTAGCATCTCTTGGGTGCCATTTGTGGTTGGGAGACTTCTCCTTTCAAGGTTAAACATCTCACCACAAAACATGGGGTGAGCAACGATCAGGCTGACAGATACGACTCATCTCATTTCCATGACAAAAGCAAAACGGTATGGGCAAATCCAAATTCTAGAAAATGCAGACCTTGAAGGAGTCAAGTTAGGAAAGTAATATTTACGGTATTTACTTCAATAAGGATGACCACGCTTGGTCCACCTTGCCTAGCAATAGCAATAGGACTTAGACTTAGACTTATATACTGCTTCATAGTGCTTTATAGCCTTCTCTAAGCGATTTACAATGGTGGCTTATTGCCCCCAACAATCTGGGCCTTCATTTTACCAACCTCGGAAGGAAGGAAGGCTGAATTAACCTTGAGCTCTTCAGAATCGAACTGCTGGCAGTTGGCAGAGTTTGCCTGCAATATGGCATTCTAACCACTGGGCCACCACGGCTCTTTCAGAGCAGGAAAAGCAAGGAACTTGCCAGAGTGAGAAGAGAGGGGATGTTACAGGTCCTCTCTCTTAAGGAGATCCATCTAGAACAGCGGTCCACAACCCTTTGGGCACCAGAAATCAGTTCCATGGAAAATCATTTTTCCACGGACCAGGGTTGGGGGTTGTTTTGTGTACTTCCACAAAAAAGAGGGGGTCGACCTATTCTCCAAAGCACCAGAAGGCAGGGCAAGAAGCGGCTGGTGGAAACCAATCAAGGAAAGAAGCAACCCAGAACTAAGGAGAAATTTCCTGAGAGTGAGAACAATTAATCAGTGGAAAGCTTCTGCCTCTAGAAGCTGTGGGTGTTCCAACACTGGAGGTTTAAAAAAAGAGAGATTGGATGGTCATTGGTCTGAAGTGGGATAGGGTGTCCTGCTTGAGCAGGAGGTTGGACTAGAAGACCTCCAAGGTCCCTTCCCACTCTGTTATCAAATCAACAGGAGTTTGGCGGCAGTCCGATCTGCAATATACTTTTAGATCAGACATAGCAATAGCAATAGCATTTAGACTTATATTCCGCTTCACATGCTTTACAGCCCTCTCTAAGCAGTTTAA